CAATTAATACTCGATAAGTATGAAATAATTATGTTCCCGGAAATTTGCCTATGGTTATGGCAACGGTCGGTATAATACATATACAGAAATTAAATGCGTCGTCGTCTGTCGAGGTCATTATCTCTCTGTTATCTCCAATCATACAGAACTATCATCTACAATAGTTATATTTTTATATACATATTATATATTTATAATACATTCACTAATGTAAATATGATTGTACTCGTGTAAAATTTAATTATAACATGTTCCATCGTTCATAATCTTGTTCCTTTTCCCGTCAACAACTACTGTAAAAACTGTTCAAAAATTGATCTGAATCAAATATTAAATCGCTCTATAAAAATATAAAACAAACATTTAATTTTATACAGAACATTTAATGACACATTTTATAATACTATTTTGTTTTAGATATTGTCAAAGAATCGAAAAAATTTATAGGTGAATTATATTTTTATATAACATTTTTTATTGCTTATTTATCTTTAAACTTGTGGGTTTCACGTATTCTGTATCTAGTCATATTTTAATTATTACAGTAAAATTCGCAATTTATACTCAAAATGTATGAAATATTTATTTTTCTGGAATTTTGATGTGTATAATGATTTTATACATATAAATCCACGAATTTGAATGACAACCTTACTATTCAGAGAGTGTATAGTTATGACAACCGCCGTTACAATACATGTTCAGAAATGAGATGTGTGCGTCGCCATATGTCGCGATCATTATGTGTTTATGATTTCTACTCATAAAGAACTTTCATCTCCAATAGTTATAATATAGTTAATATATATACTGTTCAATTATTATACATCACAAATGTACATATGATTGTACTCGTGTAAAATTTAATTATAACGTGTTCCATCGTTCATAATCTTGTTCCTTTCCCCGTCAATAACTACAATAAAAACTATTCAGAAATTGATCAGAATTAAACATTTAATCGTTCTATAAAAAACTAAAACAGAACGAAAGTTCATATTAAATGCACTCCTGTTACAATACATATAAATACTAATATGTAGTTTGATCAGAGAAATAATGACATATTTTTTAATTGTATTTTGTTATAACAGATTACAGTAATTTGGACACTTTGCCAGGTACCTAAATTATATTTTTGTATAACATTTTTTATTGCTGACTTATCTATAAACTTGTGGGTTTTACGTATTCTGTATAAAGTCACATTATAATCATTTCATTAAAAATCACAATTAATACTCGATAAGTATGAAATAATTATGTTCCCGGAAATTTGATGTGTATAATGATTTTATACATAAAAATCCACGAATTTGAATGACGACCTTACTGACAACCGCCGTTATAATACATATCCAGTAATGATATGCGTCGTCGTCTGTCGAGGTCATTATCTCTCTGTTATCTCCAATCATACAGAACTATCATCTACAATAATTATATTTTAATACACATATTGTATATTTATTATACATTCACAAATGTAAATATGATTGTACTCGTTTTAAATTTAATTATAGCATGTTCCATCATTCATAATCTTGTTACTTTCCTTGTCAATAACTACTTTGAAAATATTTCGTTTATGTATTGATATAATATATGAACAAAAAGCAGTTATCATAATATAAAATATTAAAATTAATAATCCTGAAGAATGAATAATTATTGTTTAAATATTTTATAAAACTGAATACTCTAATATATAGGAGGTATATATATTTTTTTTTAATAGAAGCAGATATATATTACCAGTATCTTTTGCATGTTATTATACAAAAAGCATCTCGTACGTATTTTATTATACATTAATTATAATTTATATATTTTTTAATAGTAATTTGTTAAATTATAAAATAGCAATACTGTGCATGTGCTGTGTTGATACCTAATCTCAAACAGTGTAATTTATCGAAAATGGGCTCACAACGGTTAGCACTAAATATTCAATAAATGAATAACCTGTCATAAAAAATAAAAATTGATACTTATCTTAATATTGAATTAGTGGATGGTAAAACACTTCTATTCTATCTTTCTTTATTGGGTTAGAATCATGTATGTTAGTAAATGTTAATATTACTTACCGTATTCCAGTAAAAACAACATAGTATCATATTATTGATAATAATCCACAGAACTGTGGTACATCTTTCCATGTGTTGCGAGGTCGACCAGTTCTTTCGGGTTAACCCGGAGACACTCAGCCCCTTTGTGGAACCGCGAGGTTGTCTCTTCCGGGCAGTAGACCCGGATGACTCCGGGGGTCCTGCCCGGGGCGCCACCTCAACTCGGGCGCCATAATGAGTGACCGCCGCGGTCAGGGCCGGACGGATTATCGCCTGAGTCAAACCCCTTCTACTAAGGCGGTACTCCCACAACCACCACGAGTCCTTCCTCAAGTGTGCCTTTCCCGGTGCGGGCGAGCGCGAGTCCTCGGTGAGTCCACGCGGTCGTGCGCCTCGGGTCCAGCACCCCCGGAGCGTCGAGACGCTATTAGCAAGCCGACTCGACGGGGCTTACTCCGAGTCCCGTGGTACGAGGTTCGAACCCGGCGTTCAGACCCTCGCAACTGCCTTGCCCGCAAGCAGGTCGATCGGGGCACCGCTGTGTGTACCGCGACGACCCCCTTTTAGTGTGTACGGTTTTGTTCTTTATCGACAGATTGCCGTTTCTGTCGGTGCCTCTCTCGTATCAAGCCCCGAGCCGGCTGAATACGTGAATGTGCTTCGCCCGAAGGGTGGTCTGGCCCCTCTGTTTCGAGCTCTCGGTCTAGGCAAGAACTTGTTCATAGGGAGTGAGATTACCCAATTCGCCCCGCAAAAAGTCCCGTCCGACCCGCCTCCTAGAAGTTCAGGCATTCAGTTCGTCCCGCAAGGTATCCCATTCCTCACTCCCGGCTAGGCGGGTCTTAGTACGGAGGGCGTTCGACGATCCTGTGGGGGCGCCGTCTTAGGGCCCTTGATCCGGCTATCGGGTCCCGCTTCGCCTGCCACTATCCGGTAATTCGCAGGCTTTCGCCCCGCCGCCATCGGTGATAGCGACGGTCGTTTTGGCTAGGCCCAATCGGACGATTTGTGCCTGCGTGGATAGGAGAGACTGTCCCCATGTCTCTGGCAGTGTGCCGTGCCCTGCACGTACGCACTCTAGCCACACGCCCGTCCGCTATGGTTTTAAAATGAAGGGTCCGGGTCGTCCTACATCTTTACGTTCTAGGACTTTCCGGGAGAAGTTTTTGAACGCAAGGAACATGGCCTCCGTAGTGGTCATGGTATCGCAGTCGCACGGCCAGTCCACACCTACCGCTTGCGCTGCGGCTGCGAGCTTGTTTCTTTCCTGGCTATATGCTGGGCAATCGTATAGCACATGCTCCGCGGTTTCCTCTGGAATACCGCATCGGCAAAGTGCCTCGCCTCGAAGGTTGAAACGACAGAGCGACGAATTGAAATTCCCGTGTCCGGACACGAACTGCGAGATGTAGTGGTCCGGAACGAACCACGGCCTCTCGAGCCTGCGCCGGACGTCCGGGAACCAAATCGCCATCCGCCTACATTTGTCACTGGCGACCTATCTCTCCTGCTAGGGGCGTATGGTAGTGTCGTAATACTGTTTCGCCTTTCTAGCAACGTCTGACGCCGACTTGTTTTCTATCCTCACTGCGCTCTTATCCCGTTCGATCTTAGCCACCGAACTAGTTCTAAGTCGAGGGGAGGTACTCCGGCTATGACCTGGAGCGCCATCGTCGACGCGGTCTTATACGTGCCCGTCATTGCCAGTAACGGGCGTTTTTGGGCGTTGTTTGCCCGTGTTCGATGTCGGTACTAGGCCATGCAGCGCTCGGCCCATACCGAGGCCGCATATCCCATACGCGGCAGGAACACCGATTTGTACAGGATCCTTGTCGTCCTTTCTTTAAGGCCCCAGCTAGCCTTAGCTACAGATATTAGTCGACTGAATAGCGCTACCGATGACGCGGCCTTTTCCGCCAGATGGCATTTCGCCTCCGGAGTCATTTTTACCTTAGTCCCACCAAGCCGCAAGTCAAGGGGCTTACTTAGTTGGCCCTTAATCCACAAGGTCTGCGACTTGGCCGCCGAGAAGGTGAGTTTCCCGTCAGTGGCCAATCTCAACGCTATTTCTAGCAGCGCGTTCGCGCGTTCCGTGAGCTCCGGACGGTGTTTCCCGGAGATGAGTAGCGCGAGATCGTCCGCGTATGCGACTATCTCTGTCCCGGGGGGAAGATCGCCGGAAAAGAACGGGTTGATCGCGTACCTCCAGAGGTCGGGCCCGAACTCCGAGCCCTGCGGGCAACCATTTGTTAGGGTCGTCGAGAGTGTCATGTCTCCAATCGCCAAGTGGGCCTTTCGGCCGTCGAGGTAGCTCTTTGTCAGGGCGATCAACCCAGAGCCGCATTTTACCTTTTCAAGATCTTTTATCAATTGCGCCCACTAGAGGCAGTCAAACGCCCCCGATATATCCAGGAATATGCCTACGACGTATTTCTCCCGCCTTTCATCTGATCAGCCGAAGTCATGTGTCATTGCATCTACGGTTGATAGGTTCTTGGTAAAACCAAATTGTCTGGCCGACATATGGATGTCCGTATCTTTACGGATTCTCACCACGATATGGTGTTCTAGTGCCTTAGCTAGAACTGGGAGTAAGCTAATGGGTCGATATGACCTAGCCTCCGTCGGGTCCTTATCGGGCGATTTCCTAATGACGACCAGCGCCGTGTTATTCCACCGGCTCGGGAATGTCCTCGTAGCCAGTGAGATTTTGAACGCAAACGTAATTTGGTTTTTAAGGACGGGCCACGCTTGCCGCAAGATTCCTGCAGTGATCCCGTCCAGGCCCGGGGCCTTGCATGTTTTCATCCGCCATATGGCATCTTTTACCTCATCGACCGTGCACGGTTAAACCGGGTCGAACCTGTGGTACAATTGTTGGATTTGACAAATTGTGCAAACAGGCAATCTGAATCATGTGATAAATGTGAGGTTAGGAGAAGGTAAAATAAATATAACACCATTAGTTTTGTGGTATTTCGAGTTAATAATATTTTTGTTCGAAAGAAATAAATAATGAAAAAAACCGTATATAAACATAAAGTATACAATAAAATACAGTGTTATGCGATGCTGTGCGTACACAAGAAAGAAGCACGTAATGGCACGCTTTTGCGCACATTTGCAATAAGTACAAATAATAAAATATTTAAAATATAGTGGTGATAATGCGGTTTAAGCTCCACATTATTAAGCACCTAAGCAAAAAAAAAACAATCGCACATCATTTTCATTCGTTATTGCGCGCATACAGTTACGGTTACTTAAAGACTTTTGGAGTAACATATTTTAAATTTACTACTAATATTAAAAATACTTTAAAAGCTTATGCAATTCTATCTAATCAGGTTGAAAATTGACAACGTTACACAAATCAAGCCAATAATTGTGAGTTTGTCTGCGTATCCGACGCCCGGACTCCCGGACAGTTTTCATCACACCACCGAAGTCGTAACCATCCGACTACTAATAGCCTCTACGACAAACGTGAACCGCTTTTACGCCGCTAGACATCACAAGCGACCGACGTAGCCACGTTTGACCTCTAGCCTACATAAACCGGATTATCGTCTGCATAAATGATGCTATAAACAGTCGACATGTCAATCGACCGACTCGGTGAAGACTCGATCGATCGCCCATTCCTAAGC